TAAGTAACAGTAAAAATATCATCCCTTGTATTAGCATCGTTACCATCGGGTAACTGTAAACATTATTTTCCTTGGGTTGATATTTTTACTGTTGCCCACAAACCCATATGTTATTTATATACTATAGTCTTGAAATAAACTATAGTCTTAGATATAATGCATACAAGCTAAATGAAAGCAACATCTAGAACCTTGGCTGTTCTTTTGTGTTTAAAGCCTTTTAGATTTTGATAAAACTTGGTGATTTATTGTTAGAAATGAAGCTGTATGTATGTTTATGTAAATATATATTTTAGTGTATAACAACAATAAACATGTTATTTAGCTTGACTATTCAAAGAATGGGGAGACGTATATTGGCTTAGTCGTCACACTTTGGTAAAGAGTTTGCGTGTAAGCTGGTATCTCCAAAACTACTGTAAGGAATGGGTTGAAATGTCACACACATGTTCTCTGTGACTGACATGATTGGCACGGGTCTGAAAACTCGTGAGCTACCATTATTCCCCTTTTCTTACTGTCAAGCACTGAGAATAGTTGAGCGCATTGTCTTTGAATAGCTCTTGTAAATTGTTTGTAGTTGCATGATTGTATTGTATAACAAATTTAGATCTCTCAATATTGCAATTATTGTTTTTACTATTTTGGACTGTATTTATAAATCAAGATATCCAGTTCATTCTTTTTTTTGAAGATTTGCTTTAAATGATATTCCAGGTATTTTTGTAATTATGACATTGTTACAAGAAATATTGTTTTGTTATTTATATCATTTTTGATAAAGTTTTTGTGATTGACTATTTAAAATTGTGAACTATGTTATTGGATAATTAAACTAGTCTCATAACTTTTATTTTTAAACATTTCAATATTGTATATTCTTTATGACATAATACGCATTGTCAAGTTTTTTTGTTTTTGTTTTTCATTTGCTTATAACTTTATCAGTTTTATTGCGTTTTTCAGTTGGGGTTTTTAAAAGTTATTTCAACCTTTGAATGTAAAAAAGAAAAAGTAAAATGAAGTAGCAGCCAGTGTAAAATCTTAGCATATGGCACAGATGTATTATGGCCTGGCTTTAAATTTTAAACTTGGGGAAAAAACTGTTATTGCCATTTACACATTTTATTTCAACAGCCCAGCAAACACTGAAAATGCTTTTATTTTCATATTCCTCAATATTTATTTTTGGGGGTTATTTTGATTTAGTGTCTGATATGGTACTGATTGGACAAATTGTAGAACCTCCTTTGCTTTTAGGCCATTAGTTTAAAGTTAGTAAGTAAATATTTTGTATTGATTCAAAATACCTCTGTTAATGATTGTGTTATTACATTTATGACATGTTATTTCATATTTAGCACTGCTTCATTCATATGTTAAACATGTAACACACTCTTATTTTATCATCAAAACAATATAACACTGTGAGTGACAAAAAAATTGTGTTCATTGCCAAGGTTTAAATTGTGCCTTTAAAGGTTATGTATAATGTGTAGAGCCTATTGGTCGACATTTTGTTTGAAGCATGACTAAATTACTGTATTAAAATTTTCATTATTTTTTTTTTTTGTGCCCCACTTTAGTGGCGGGCATTTAGATTTACCCTTGTCTGTCCGTCCTTCCGTCCATTCACTTTTGTGTCGCACGTAACTCAAAAAGTATTTGACCTAGAGTCATGAAACATTACAGGAATGTTGATCAGCATGTGTAGTTGTGCACCTGGGTATTTTCGTCTGGATATTTTTAGTATTTTCAGAGTTATTGCCCTTGACTTAGTAAAATTTTGCAATTTTCAACTTGTGTCGCACGTAACTCAAAAAGTATTTCACCTAGAGCCATGAAACATTACAGGAATGTTGATCAGCATGTGTAGTTATGTACCTGGGTATTTTCGTCTGGATATAACTAATTAGTATTTTTAGAGTTATTGCCCTTGACTTAGTAAAATTTTGCAATTTTCAACTTGTGTCGCACGTAACTCAATGTATTTCACCTAGAGTCATGAAACTTCACAGGAATATAGATCAGCATGTGCAGTTGTGCACCAGGTATTTTCGTCTGGATTTATTTAGTATTTTTAGAGTTATTGCCCTTGACTTAGAAATTTTTTGCAGTTTTCAACTTGTGTCGCAAGTTACTCAAAAAGGATTTGACATAGAGTCATTAAACCCTATGGGCAGGTTGCTCAGCATATTTAGATTTGCACCTGGGGTTTCGCTTGTGGATTTATCCAGTATTTGTAGAGTTATTTCCCTTGACTTAGTAAAAAGATTGACAGAACAGTGGCGCGGTGGGGGCACCTGTGTCCTATGGACACATTTCTAGTTTGTTATTCAGATTATGTAATTAGAAATAATTCTTAAATCAGGGCACTGCATGGTTTAGAAAAAAAAAGTATACATGTACTTTTATGAACTAACAGAGTATTATCTGAAGATGAAATAATTATTAAACCTGGAATACACTTAAAAATCATTTCCTGACTTTAGACTATATACAGGTTAGTTGCATCAACTAACCCCCTTTTAGATGGACTAACCCCCCATAGTTGACGCCAGGCATCAACTAACCCCACATTAGATGAACTAACCGCCCTAAGTTGATGTGCCACAACAACTAACCCCCCTTAGATGAACTAAATCTGAGGAAATGATTTTTAAGTGTATTCCAGGTTTAATAATTATTCCATCTTCAGATAATACTCTGTTAACTCTTGTTTTATTAATATTTTAGAACATTTATATTTTTATTTGGAAAATGTTTTTTCCTGTATATTTCTGATAAGCTTTAATTATTTATGTTCATAAACAGTATTTACAGTGCATTTCTTTTTAAAGATCTTTGACATCATGTTTTTCTAGTACATTGTTTTTTGTTTTCGTATGTTTGACATTTATGTATTTCTGGTTTATTGTATAAATTTTCTACATTTTCAAAAGGGGACTACATGTACATGACTTTTTCATTAATACAGCTTTATAGTGTATTAATTTTGTATATATATTTAGAGATAAGAATTATATTTTAGCTGACCATTTTGTACAATGCCATATCAAGTATCTCAGACTTTGTTAATTTGTTGTATATCCATTGTTGATTATATAGTAAAGGTTGGTATGAATAAACAAATATGAAAAATTCTTGTTGATATTTTTCATTCTTTACATTTTGATACCTGATCTATGACCAAATAAATGTATGTACTTTTACAGAATTCTGACCATATGTGTCCTTTGTGGCCGAGTGTTGCCTTTAAGTATTGAGGCATTAGAACTGCAGCCACCATTTATCCCTTCATGATCATAAGAGTGACTAAATGGAAGCTAGAGCCTGTGTATCTCTTAGCTCCAGCAGGTGGGATGGTTTTGATCCCAGGTGTTGCTTTAATACCCGAGGTTAGCCATATTGTTGCCATATGGCCTGAAAACTAACCATGTGTGCTTGTAATTTGCACCTCACCATGCTAGGGATTTTTTCATATGAGGAACCTAGCTGAAGGCCTGTGGTTTATCAGGTGCCCACTCATGCCAGAAATAATGCACGCGAGAGACACCCCGAGGTCTTCCTCCTCCAATAAACCTGGAAAACCATCATAATGACCTTTACAAAGTGTCAGTGAGACAATCTGCTATAAAATACTATACAACATAATTATAAGAGGCCCCTAGGGTATTCTTTACTCGGAAACCTGATCTTGCAGATTTTAAACCATTTGTGCCTGGAATAAGTTACAAAATTGGCACCAGGGATTTTCTTTATTCAGAAGAAATGTGAAATTCTCTTGCAGAATTTCATCTTTAACTTGTGCCCTATATCACTAACAATTGAGCAAGGATAACACAAAAGCAATAACCCATTTTATAAACACTATCTATAGTAAATTCTCATGTAAGCCAGACCCTGTAAGTAACAGGGAAATATCCTAAGTACTTGAGATATCATGTACAAAAATTGCACGTAAAAATTTAACCAGTGTTACCCAAACACCAGATTACATAGGAAGTATGAAGACAATACACCAAGAAATAAAAAAGTTATGATCTAGGTACAAGTTTGCGGACGGCAACGCCGACCCGACTATAACAATACCTCTACTTTTTTTTTCAAAAAAACAACCAGAAAAATTCATTGATTGACAAGGATTTTACATAAAGTGTCGCTGACCTCAAATTCAATTGGGGTTATTACTGGCAAGGGTCTACGTCCCTTCTAAGTTTCACAAACTAAGGATTACTCCTCAAGTTATCAGCCATTAAAGTATTTTCCAATAAGCACCACTTTGTTGACTATGGGTTATGTCCATACCAAGTTATACAAATACAGGCTTTTTCTTTCTCAAGTTATTGAGTGTAAATTTTTTTTTTTCACAAAGTGTCATTATAACTAAATACCAACTATGGGTCATCTACTGCCATTGGCAATTTCCCTACCAATTTTTTTATCAACTTAGGGCTTATTTCTTTTCTAGTGATTGATCTGTAAAGTACTTTACTTTAACTGTCACTGTGCCCATGACTTGACCTCAAAATCAATTTGGGTCATGTACTGGCCACGACCATCCTACAAGTATGACAACAGCATACTTGACAGTCCTCAAGTTGTTAAATAAATATTGATGTGACTAATGGACAGACAGACAGACATCAAAATGCCATACGATAATATGACCAAAGTAACCAAGAAACACAAACCATGAGTGTCATAAGTGTACATTAGAACAATGAAGAAAATACAGCAATATAAAAGACAAACAGCATGTGTTTTTGTATTATTTTAATTAAATACATGTACCAGTGACAATGTTTTTTTACAACATTATTGTATCACAATGAAAAAGAAATAAAATGATAATTAAATATTCAACACATGGCTAATGAATGAGAAATGACAAGAACAAAATAGGTACCGAGTGATTTAATTTCCTAGTCTTAAGGTGTCTCTAAATAAATTAATTTGTATAATTTCCTGCATAATTTTCTTGGCTTAAAGTATCGCTGTTTCGCAAGTGTATAAATATATATTTTTATTGTCAGAAAATGCTATTATTTCCCCTCAACATAATTGCAATTTTTTACTATCACTTAAATTAGGAAAAGAATACATAGGATAGTTATTATGTCATCTTGAAATACTTCTATTCATTCGCTATTGATGGCAATCAATACATTATTTCAGTCCTCTTGAGTTAAACTACAAAAGATGAAGACCTTAATAAAGAGGAACTGTCCTTCAGTATATTTTTTCTGAAATAAGCAGATATTAATCCTGTAAGGTAGTGGATAGCTTATTCAGATATTCTTTGAAATACTTTATCCAAAGTATGGCTTGAAACCAATGCCAGTGCACCCACTATTTAAGTGTTTTGAAATGTTTATGAAATGCATTCTTAATAATTTATAGCATGGTTCTTTAGTCATCTGAAATTTCATATGATTTTTAAAGAAAATTTAACATTTCAGATCTATAAAATATCAAAGATAAATTATACATTAATGCCTTTAAAGCGATACACAGGCAAATAAATGACAAAAATATCAAAATTATCTTATGTACTCAAATCACGCTAAAATGACATTTGTTAAGGTCCCAAAAAATCTATATATTTTGGGTTTCAAGCGTATTAATATATTTATATATGTTGAACGAAATTAAGATGCCAACATTATCACCAAGTATGATGTGACTTGAACAAACCCTGGAAGTTACAATAACAGATATTGTGGATATTGTATGATAGGAACAAACCTAAATCATTCATTTGACATGTTTCTTAAACGTTTCGAGAGTTACTGTGGCAACTTTTTTGAAAATTTAATGCTCTAACCTGACCCATGTGGGTCAAGTTAGGAAACCACCATTTTATTCTTTATAAGCAGAACATTTTTGTTCCTGTGACTGTATAGTGTATTCATTTTGAGGACATTTACAGAATATTGAATGAAAAATTCAAAACTAAGAAATAAAAATTTTGCCTGTGTCTCCCTTTAAAGTATATTATTGCCTCAACGACAAGACATGTATATCTATGTACTGCCAAGAGAATGAAATAAATTTCTGTCACATAATGACATTGACCCATATTTATCACATTTTCTTCTATGAAACAGTTCAATTATATACTGGTATATCAACAATAAAATCAACCCTCTATGAAATGATGGACGGAATAGATGTGAAACACAATAAATTATATGACAACATAGAAAACAGTTCACAACTATTTCTGCAGAATAAACTGTTCTATAAATTCATTCTGTTCACTTTCTTCTTTCTGTAAATTTTCATATTGAATTCTTAATCTGAAAAACCAGAAAGAAGTTACAATTATATGTATCAGAAGATACTAAAAACTGATTGTAGACATTTTATCAGTTTAAGCATGTTTAACTCTTTGTTACCTGTATAAGTGCAGTAGAAGGGGCGCTATGGCCAAGTGGTTAACACATCGGACTAGTAATCTAATGATTGCTAGCAACATGGGTTCAAACCCCCTCAGGAGTAAGCCGTTGTTTCCTTGAGTTAGAATCTTTACACTGATTGCTCAGTACTAATTGGTTTCAGGAACAGATTCCAAAGTGTGTTTGTAAGCTTATAGCTTCTTACACAATCAAACTAAAATAAATTCTCTATAAACCAAGGGCATTACTATACCATTAGTCTTAATACACAATCTAGTAATTACTAATATAACATTTTTTACAAGCAATGAGGGTTTAATGTCTGGGTTCACATCTTATGATGCTGGTACATAGAAATAGCAATAAAGTTTGTGAAGTTCAAATACAACATGTAACTACCAAAAACTTCCTGAATCGATACAGGAAGTTTTTCTTATTTAACTTTTTTGCAAGATAAAATAGTATCTCATATGTCAAGGATTATATACAAAGTGTTGCTCTATATGACTATCATCATCATCATCATCATCATCATCATCATCATCATCATCATCATCATCACCACCACCACCATCATCATCATCATCACCACCACCATCATCATCATAATAATTTCATCATTATCATCACCACCATCATCATCACTTTGGCTCTATCATCATGATAATTTCACCATCATTATCATCAGCATCATCATCAAAGTTACATCAACATCATCATCATCCTCATCTCACCTTTCTAGCTGCATTTTTCTCTCAGCTATCAATGCCTGAAGTTGTTGTTGTTGTGCCTCTCTTTGTTTAGCAATAGATTTCAGTAAATTCCTTGAGCCAATCGCCTGAAAAAGTTTGGAAAATTTATGGTTATTTATTTTTAACAGCAAATAACAGTTGTATCTCAAAATCATTGAAAATCTGTGACATGTATTAAGTGATTTTCATATACAAATGTAGTTACAAGAAGAAACTTAATGTTACTTATAATAGTGAATTACGCCAGATGACTGTACGTAATTTTAAGTCCTGAACAGATATAAAAAAATACTACTTCATACCAGGAAAACCAGCTCGATTTTTACCCTAATCCCACCATGTATCTTAAATGGACTTTCCCATCAATCAATCAGGACAAAACTATTTTTCAAGGACAATTTCAAAACTTATTCATGATGCAGCATGAACTGAATGAATAGCAAACAGTGCAAACCATGTTCATGTGGCACAGATTATGAGATATGCAAATGATCTGTGTCTCTACTGGTTGCATGGGTAAATTTAGCTGCTGCCAGCACTGTGCAAGGAGTAAAGCATCATTACAATGGACCTCTGTTTTTTAAGTAAAGTCTCATTAGAAAAACATGTAAATCTTGAACCTGAATGTTTAGCAGAACAGAATTATTCCTGGACCAATGCACCATATCACTATTAACAAACTAGTAATACTATGCTGTAAGAAAGACTTCTTTATTGTACAAACAGCTCTAATGATGATATAACAAAGTAAATTTCTAGATAAGGGATTTAAAAACCTAGTCCAAGATTTATTGCTTACATATATATACGAAATGTACGCATACAAAAATTGTATTAATTCAAACATGAATATCTTAGTTAATTGCTATAAAATTTATTTTATATACATGTAACTTCTATCCATTTTTATCACTAAATTTCTTGAATAAACTTGTCTATCTTTCAATTTGTACATGTAAACTTTTATCTTTTTTTTTTTAAACTTGTCTTATCTTTAAATGTGGACAAAAGTTCCAACCATTCATCCTTTTCATGGAAATTTTTAAAAATAATTCAAAAGTACTACTATATGTCAGAATAGCCATTAGTATTGAACAAAAGCAAGGATGAGCTGGCTGAATCTTGGTATACAACTATACAATTGGTCGCACTGGCAGAATCTGTTGCCACCAGAAGGCTAAGTAAGGGCTGAATATGATCAAATTCATATGCACAATTGTGTGGATACTCTGTAAATACTTGCAACATTTTGATGCTTACCTTCATTTTTTCTTTTTCAACTTCTTTTGAAACATTGTCTACAACTTCAATAAATGTTCCCACAATTTTCTGAAAGTCTCCAATTTCTGAAATTAATTAAGAAATGCTAAATCCAAAGTATGATGTTTATCAGAAGGTGATTGAGTAGTAGTTGGCATTGAGAAGAGATGTTATTCTGGTAATACCTTTATATTCACACAAAATGACATCAATCATAATCAGTCATAAAGTTACTTAATAGTCCTAGGTAATCATTCTAAAAGTAACTTCTAGAAAGCATACCTTTTAAAACAATAAACAAACTGTTAACTATAACATGTACTGTATGATGATGTTGTCAGCAATATTGATTTTTACCCTGTATACATAATGGAAGTGGCTAGCCGTACCAGCCAGACTAGCCAAAAGTTCTAGCCTACGTGAGTCACGTACGACTAGCAAGGACACACTGTATTGGCTAGCCGTACGGCATTTTCAAAATTAGATGGAAGTCGAAAATGCTTACATGTATGTTATTTTATATCTTTAAGCGAAGATTTTAACCAAGAAACAGCAATTGTCTTCGTATGTTTACTTTTTAGAGATTAATTAATCGCCTTGTTGGCTACAGTAAAAAAAGTACGAATATCGATCTTTGTCACTCAAGACGTACGTTGAGAAAAAATAGCGTTTGATCGCAGTTAAATAACATCAATTGAAATAGTTTACAAAATTTTGATTTTGATGATAATCCGTTTTTGTTTAATTAAGTTTAATGGTTGACACCTTTAAAATGAAAAATTGTTGTTGTTTGGATCTGATAATTGCGTCAATAACCGACGGTATAGAAGTTTGTTTATCATTAACGAGTTTGCATGTTCCGTGAAACGCATTTTAAAATTCTATTGAAAGTCCCTGGGTAGGCTTTAATTAAGGCTTATTAATTGATTGTGCTTTTATGTTCGATATTTATCTACTGTATTTGAAAATTATACAATTATTTTTGTTTTTCACCGTTTTATTTTTTTTCTTCAATGTTCTTTTTATTTATTCCACTCTGATCATTATTTATTCGATTAACAAAAAATCACCTTTCATACAAATAAAACAACAAATCATAATCATGAGACACAAAACAAAATATGCATGTTTGACTTCCATATATAATTTTACAGATATATAAACATCTTATATTTAGCTCCATGTTAATTTTAAAAGTGCCGTACGGCTAGACAAAACAGTGAGTCCAGGCTAGTCGTACGTGACTCACGTATGACTAGAACTTTTGGCTAGCCGTACGGGCCCGTACGGCTAGCCACTTCCATACATAATACCTTGAATTGACCAATCAGATGTGCAGAAACTGTGTTAGTTTATGCCAGTAAATTTATTTGGCCAGCCATTCATATGTCATACTAAAACACATAATGTATATATCACTGATAGTTAAAAATAAAATAACAGTTTGCTTGAGAAGAAAATGAAACTGCTTATTTTATTTATTTCCATGACCATATATAAAATAAAAACTGAATATACTTGTAGAAACAACAAAATCTCCTGCTGAAATGGTATAACAGTTGCCAGTGGTGAGTGCGCAATGTAAACACGGACGATAAAAGGTTTACAGATGTCTTTGGAATTGTTATTTTATGTCTATTGGCATTTGCGGTATAAAGTAAATTTTGTGGTATTATATATAGAGGGGATATAAATAAGGTTTCTGGTTGGGAAAATGATCCTTGGAAAATCATGGCAGCTTTTGTACACAGTCACTGCAAGTGCTGAATTAGTAAAGATTCACAACAATAACGATTCACCACATAATGATTCACCACAGTGAATTAACCATTTGCCACAGTTAAATAAAAATTTGCTACATGATCGAATACAAACCTTTTCGTCCCTATCTTCAAACTGTTGATGAAAACCTTTTTTTTCCATTTTATGACGAATTGTTACTGTGGCGAATTGTTATCGTCGAGTGACCCGTTTTTACGCTGCCCTATTTCGACGCCATTTATATTTTGCCTCATAAATGATATAAGCGGCCGCTTACGTCACTACTGTACTACGCTATGGCAAAAGGGGATTCCTCTAGTTGGTTCTAGGTAACAATATGTAGTAAGTAAAACACCCAAAGGTAATATTTAGCATGTTATACCTTATTTAAGAGATTTTTGTATGATTTCACTAATGCAATTTTGACCCTCACTTTACTATGTCACGTTTTCCTTGAAAAAATCGGCTGGAAAATACCTCCCTGTCTGCTGACCTCATTTCCTTATTCTCAGGTCACGTGGCAGTAAAAATTACCCAATAGTGTTGTTTTTGGCGCATTTTTTCACCCTAAAGCAACCTGTACGTGTTATAGATTTTTTTACGGTTATTTATCGATGATTGAATGTTAATTGAAAATTAATTGGATATGTTTATCTTATTTTGATGGAATGAATTGCCATATTTTAATAAGTTGCTCTACTAAATGTATTATTTTGTTTTTGCAGGTTCAACAAAAGAAGTAAAGGTGCTATTTTCAACCTATATTATTCAGCAGAGGAGGTCAAACAGACTAGGGCAACCATCCAAACCACTGTAAAAATACAACAATAGCATTTGCCATATATAATTATGCTTTATTTATGAAAGAAATAAAGAATAGATAAACTATTTTTCACTTGTTGATACTTTGCAGGTCTATGCTCTTGATATTGGTGAATAGCGTAAGTAAAAGTATTATGGTGTACAGTCTCCTGTAGTGTGTAATTAAATTAGCCAATCAATAGCGTCGTTTTAGGGCACTCTCAATCAAAATGGCCGCTCCTGGATGAAGTGAAAGTAGGATTGTTCATGAAAAGGAATAGCTGGAAAACAGCTTAAATTTACCCATTTCATAAAGACTAGAGATTTTTTAAAAAGTTAAAACATTTTATACAACACAATCACATGGTTTTTATAGACGCATACAAAACAATCCTTATGGGCGTCGAAACTGGTCACTCGAGGATACATTACCCAAGTGCTTAGACCCATATCAAATTATGAAATATCAGAAATACTTTGTCCCGTCAGCTTTTTATTAATTATCATTGCCGTATTTACAATCAGTCTGCCCAGGTAAGACTTTTCGTCCTGAAAATTTGGAAACCTACATCTGTGTTATAAATTTTAGTGGGTGGGGTAACAAAGTCCGATAGAAGTAGTGTATTTACATAAAGGTTTATAAGTAAAAACCGTCTCACGTACTGTCAACAAAGTCTTTACATTCTTCTTTAAGCTCAGTTGTCTGCGACTGTACTTCTGGTTCAAGAACTCTTATCTTATTCAACTCATCAAAGTGTAATCCTGCTCTCGAAAGCGCTTCGTCCGCCATTTTGTTCAGGAATGTAAACAAAGTAGTGGATAGTTTCGTACTTCGATACATCCATCCAAATGTGAGTGTGTACATTAAAGAAATATAGGTTGAAAAACCGATGAAAACTCAACAATATTTTAACATATTTCAATGATAAAAGTGATATATCATTTTACATTATGTTATATATCTAAATATTAAAGAAGAACAAAATCAGTGATGATGGGAATCTACAATACATGTATTCGTAATTATATTTACCAATATTTTATGGCGGGAGATTTTGACAGCTACTGTAAAGATGAATTCATCACAGACAAATATTTTGGTAAGTACTGAATACGGTTCATACATTGACTTTTTAATGACGGTAATTTTAACTAATTGAATGATCCGTCTGCAGATCGTGAACTAAAAGTCTTCATGCTTTATTTTCAAAGTCTTCATGCATTCAGCCCATTTTTCTACCTATGCATGTTCTGTTGTTGTTGTTTTCTATTTCAGAAAGCCACATTGGAAATAAGATATATATGATTGCTATTGTATGTTCTTAATGTGTAACCTTCTTTAAATAAAGATATATTTTTTTTTATTATTATGAATTTGCTTTATTTTTAACTATGAGCAGTTCAATCACACAACATATTGCTCACCTTTCAAAAAACATTTAAGGGCCCCAAACTGGAAAAGCATACTACAAGTTTAGTACAAGACTAAATATTGTTGATCTATCTCATTCTTTTGTATATTTCAGCTTGTCGGGTCAGAGGGTACTGGAAAACATGATATCTCCAAGTGTTTGATAGATATGGGTAAAGCCATCAATCTCAAAGTGTAGGTTATATTTGTATTATATGTAATACAGAATATTCATAAGAATAACCCTGAAGTAGTACAGTAAGATGTAAAATGATGCCCTTCTCCTGCTGGTCAGTGGGAGGAAATGAGGCAAGAATTTATCTTCTGTCTGTTTCACACTGTCACGGTTCAGAACTGTTCACTTATTACCGGAGAAAATGTGTAAGTGGCCGGATAGCTCAGTCGGTAGAGCAGGGGAACGGTATTCTGAGGGTCCCGGGTTCAAGTTTCGGTCAGGCTGCACATTTTTCTCACCCTGTGACATTTGGCGCCCAACGGGGGACCGTGACTGATAAAGCTCCGAGTTTAATTTACAATTGCTCTGTAACAATGTGAAATTCAAGGACAATTTCAATATAGCAGGGGAGTATGTCACCGTTCAGAACTGTTCACTTATTACGGGAGAAAATGTGTAAGCAGCCGAATAGCTCAGTCGGTAGAGCCGCGGAACGGTATTCCTAGGGTCCCGGGTTCGAGTCCTGGTTAGGCTGCACATTTTTCTCACCCTGTGACAACACTATTATACTTTTATTACAGCAGACAGAGGCCAGGGTCTATTCTAGGAAGGGGGATGGGGGGGATTCACCCATATTTTTAGGTATTCACCCCTACTTTTTGAGAGGAAGGGGGAAATTTTACATAGAGAAAGAAGGAATAAGATCAACAAATGTAATAAATTCTCACTTTTCAATAAAAATCCCCCTGTTTTTTGAATCCTAGAATAGACACTGCAGAGGCATTTGATGCTGGTTAAGTTTTAAAAAGTGTTTAAAAAAATCTTAAGTCAGAGACTTTTCTATTCCCTGAGTTTAAGGTCACTTAGGAATACAAATCAATGGTGCATTGGAAGTAAATTCTTAACTTGACCAAGAGACATCAAGACATCAAGAAAATGTTTGTTAGAAATTTGTCATTAAATAATGTTTATATATGAATAATTGTGTTTTGTTTTAAAGTGTATTTTTATAACATTATTTTTGTTTTTATTATCAACAACAGATTGACCTGCACCTGTCTACCATTACCAGACAATAGAGACTTATCAGATGAAAATATTCACTTTGTATGTTTTACAATGCATATGGCTAATAAAGACAGGTAAATTATTTGATTATTGTTATAACTTAATTATAAGATGTCAATTGATTATAAATTTGTGCTTCAATTTAGATTTGAAATTAAAAGTTTAACCCATTACGTTATATACACACCTTTTAACGCCTTTGTCACCCCCCCCCCCCCATTTTGTTGTCTCAAATGGTGAAAAAATGCCTTATTTAGGCCCCCAACACTTGTTTTTGTTTGAGAAATGTTGTTAAAAAAGTGACCTCTTTTTCGGCGCGGCCCCCCAACCAAGAAAATTTTGGACTTGTGAGAGGCTATAAATGACCCCAGATTGATCATAAGGTAACGTGTAACCAACGCTGAAAAGCATATGACTCTATCTCAATCCATTGAGAAGTTGCAGCACTTTGAAATCAATTTTGATGGAAAAAATCAACGCAAAATAGTGATTTTTGGCAATTTTGAGATGTCCCCTCGTTGCCATGGTAACAGAAAATTTAAGCCTGAGCATGTTGTTGCAAGGGCAATGGTCCAGTCAACATTTGTGCCAAGTTTGATTAGTGTTGAAGCAGTTTTTATAGTATTATAGCAATTTGAACTTGTAACGGGAGACTTTTCAATGAAAACAGCCATTTTTGACAAAATGCTCATGAAGTAATGGGTTAAATAATTAAGTACTTTCAGGAATTAACACCTGTCAAGTAAGGAATTAAGTGCCTTGCTCTGCATTATTTCAGGCACAAGTTTGCACTTATATTAATCATTTAATTTATTTCTTACCTTTATAAGAGCTACTTAATTTCTACATTAATTTTATAAGAATCACTTATTTTCTACATTTTTTATAAAAAACAACTTAATTTCTATATTTACTTTAGAAGAAACAGTTAATTTCAATATTAAAACTAAACTATACTTTGAGAGAACTCTTGTCTTTCTGGTCATGGTTAAAAATTATTTGATGTAATTTAGGTAATGATGTATACATACCTAAGTTATTTTATAAATTTAGCCAAAAAAATGTGTCTTTTAATAAAACTATGTAAGGCTTTTGCTCTATTGATAATAAATTATTTCTTTGCTTCAACATAAAAATGTCTTTGTCGTATCTTGATTATTCTCATTTTAATAATTTAATTATAAAAGCCAACAGAAAATAAGGTGGGATAACAGAAAAAGTAATAATATCAAATAATATTTCAAGCCTTATATAGTATATACATGTATACAGTATTGTAGATTTTGACTTAATAAATACTCGCCATATTTCTAAAGAATATAAAGCAGTATCTCATGAAATATTTTTATAAAGTTTATGAACAGTAATTATAATATTATGGTTGATTTTCAAAAAGAGTTAAAACAAAGAAATGACAGAATGTTTTTCTTATTTAACCTTTTCCCTTATATAAGCGTGTTTCGACGGCTTTTTGACCCCCCCCCCCCTTTTTGAGGCCTCAAACAGTGAAAAAATGTCCTAATTAGACCCCAAGCACTGTTTTTCGTTTGAGAAATGTTGTAAAAAAAAAGTGACCATTTTTTTGGCGCCGTCCCCCATCCAAATAATACATCAGGGGGTTGCCAGAAGGGGGATGTGCCCCCTTCTGTTTGGGGGGTTTGAAGGCGGAGTCACCCTCATCGCCAAGAAAATTTTGGACTTGTGAGAGGCTTAAAATGACCCCAGGTTGATCATAAGGTAACGTGTAACCAACGCTGAAAAGCCTTTGACTCTATCTCAATCCCTTGAGAAGTTGCAGCACTTTGAAGTAAATTTTGATGGAAAAAATCGAGGCAAAGAAGTGATTTTTGGCAATTTTGTGATGTCCCCTCGTTGCCATGGTAACAGGAAATTTAAGACTGAGCATGTCGTTACAAAGGCAATGGTCCAGTCAACATTTGTGCCAAGTTTGATTAGTATTGAAGCATTTTTCATAGTTTCATAGCAGTTTGAACTTGTTAGAGGAGGCTTTTCAGTGAAAATGGCCATTTTTCACAATATGCTCATGGGGGAAAGGGTTAAAGCAATGCGTTTTGTAGATGTTCATTTCTCTCTATTTCCTATTACAAAGGCATTTCTTTCAGAAAGGTATTTTCGAATTATTATTTCTTGACATATAAACAATAATTTTGTAAACTTTAGACTGCAAATACAAAAAAGATATTATTTTAAATTTGGAACAGTGCCAAAATAATAATCTATTTATAGTAACATCAACTAAAATGGTGGTGCGGAAAAACAGTACCTTAAGGCTAGATTTTTAATTGCAATATATTCCTGATGAAGGTTGTTGTTCAACCGAAACTAGTCGAATAATATAGTGTAAACTTGACTGGGTGTTGACATTAGTTCCTCTACGCTTTTTTTGTATTTGCAAAAACAAATGTATAGAGTTGTATAGAGTTTGTATTATTTCAAGATTAAATTTAAATGTTATTGCAACCTGTTCTTATTTCCAAGGTTTACATTCCAGTATGAAGGGATTAGTAGCAAGCATGGGGCAGCTGGATGTTTCATACTTCATCGGGAAGTCGATAATTGTTGCTAACTCAAAAGGTATGGAAATGTTCTTTTTTTTCTATAAAATTCAAATCACATGTACAATGCATACAACATGCTTTTAGTTAGAGAGAGGAAGTGTTAACATTCATGGTAGACTTATTTGTTAAGTTGGAATATTTCGATTTGCTTGTAAGTGAAACGGACACAGGTAACAGTTCATGGTATAACATATCATAGTGTGTTGTGAAAAACAGCTTGACTGGGACTCAAAACTGGGTATCTTGGTAATGTTTCATGACTCTATGGACTGAGCTACATGTATTTGGGCTGCTTACACACTTTCTTCCTAAATTACATAACAGTTCAAATGCTGCCACTTTGCATAAAACATTTACATGTATACAGAATGTATTCCTGCTAGTCACATTTTTAAGAATTCACAACTTTGTACTGTTTTAAGAATTCAAAACTTTGTACTGTTTTAAATTCCTTTCGCAGGAAACCTGATTTATTTTTGTATACATAATAATTATATTGTGTGAATCTAAATAAAGATGTAGAAGCATCGAAATAGTAAATTGTGTGATATCAGTCAATAATGCTCTCAAAGTTAGAATAATATATATTCTTATTTGGACTCAATATATTTAGTATCAAGGGAAATTATATTATAGTGATAAACAAAATTTGTTAATGTGATGAATGATATCGGTTTATATTTCACTACAGGACAGTGTACAGACGAGGGGGAAGAGAGAACTCAGCTTAAAAATTTAGCTACTAAATGTGACATACAGGTGTTGTTCTGTGATACTGAGGTAAAAACTTTATCTTCTATAGTCAGTGAAAATTTAAAGATCCTGTATGTTGTAATTAAGGTTGTTACCACACTTAAGTGAAATTTTACATATGTTTATAATTATGCTTCTAAAACAATATTTAAACATCGAAGAATATGTAAAATATGTACTGCAAAAATTTTTTTCCACATTATATGAAAACATTAAAATTTTATTCATTTCATTTTTTTTTGAAAAATTTGCCCTTAAAAACTTTATATAAAAAAAAATTTTTTAAATTCCCTTTCCCTTTTTTTAAACTTAAAAATAAAAATTCGGTAATTTTTTAAAAATAATGTTTTTTTGGAACTTACAATATTGATAAATCTTCTTTTTAAATCCTTATTTTTAAATGATTAAAAACCCCATAAAAAAATTGAGTTTTTTTGGAAAGAAATAAATGTAATTTTAAATTTTAAAATTAGTTTGGACGCATTACAAAAAAATTTCAGAACATCTGTTTTTTTTTCCTGGTTTAAAAACCCTTTTAAAATTTTTAAATTTTATTTTTCAAAAAACCCAGTGGGGTTTCGGTATAAAAAACAACAATATAGATTTTTTGTATTTTAAATTAATATTGCCTAAAGAACTCCGGCAAAAATGGCCCGGACAATTAATACGAAGGGGAACAACGCTCTTTTCACAATAATGTTCTGTATATGTCCGTACCTTACCGTACGCTGACCAAAACCGTACCTGACTACACATATGGCGCACCTTTCTTTTCTTTTTGAAATTTAATATTTAACGGATATTACATATTCCTTTTTAAGAATTAAACTTAAGTGATGAAATATAGTGTCTAAATTAATTGAAGGACACTCTTAATAATCAAATCCAAAAGTTTAACAAAACCATTGATTAAAAAGGGTTATTTAAAATGGGTAACTTATTAATTTAATTTTATGGTGTCTTATGTTAATTAATCATTTCAAGGTATTTAGGTTTTGCTTGCGGAGCCTCTTCGGTCTTTTCTGAATGTTAATTCAGTCCCCTCATTAGTATTAACTTTAAACTTAGGTTGGACTGTCCGGTAAGGGCTAAAGAATTTTTCAGTTGTCAGGTTAATGTTGTCCATTTTCTCCCACTAACACCTCGGGGACTCTGAACTTCAGGAATTTCTTGTTAGCTCCTAGTGGTGCAGGTTAATGAAGCCGGATTATGAACCCGTTGTCCTGCGGAAAACCGAAATGTCACTGTCTATATCGTCGCCTACATTGTCTTGCTGGGAATTTGCATTTAGAAAGATTTAAAATTTTTGTATTTGGGGGGCGGAACGCGGGAAACATTGTTTTGTTTCCCACTTTATACGGGAAGCGGCGTTTAACTGGTTACCGAATGAACTTCCCTGTTGATGTAAAACCAATTTATCTTTTTTGACACTACAAGGATCTTTGCCTGGAATTTAATTTTTCTTGTTCAGAATATTAAGGGTTAAACTATAATCTTCCTCACTAACTGAGAGGTTTTTCAACAGATGATTGAGTTTTGGACTTTTTCACTTCTTGTGTTTTTTCTAAAGGGTTGTGATTTGTTTAAAAAAAATTTTTTGCCGAAATGGGAGTTGTTATGAGAAAACTGATTTTTTTGGGTCCACAACCTCTGGGCTGAAAAACCCCTTTCTCGACAGGGATGCGACAATTCTTTTTCGCGAAAAGGCAATCCCCAAATTAAACCTTAGAAACAAACCCGCCTTTCTGGGCCAAAGGGATGATTTTCTCTTTCAAGGGCCTTAAAATTTGGCTTTTTCTCCTACGGGGTTTTTTGTTAACTTTTTTTCACGGCGCCCAAAAATCAAAGGGTTTATTTCAGAGAGGGGTTTTTGGGGTTTATTTAAAAGATGTAAAAAACTGGAGCAGGTCAATAATGGACGCAGTAGGAGGTCCATGATTTGGATGTAACTCCAGTGCGACAGGGGCATACTAAGGAATCTCTTATATTCTCTTCTTTCATTTTCTACTATTGGAGGCAACAGTGTATGAAGTTTTGATGTTTCTCTTAACACAAGTACTAACTGTTTATTACGTTTCATGACGTCTGCAGCGAAAACTCATTCCCTACTACCTCAGGAGGGTTCTTCTGAGGATTGAGTACAAAACCCATGTGGTGGTAGTTTACGTAAAGAACGCGCCAGCTATGACACATGTCAGATACTCTTTCAACTGCTTGGCTCATTGTCCAAGGAATAAAATATGTCTCTTCAAACCGGAAGTATTTGATGTTTTGATGGATGGTCAAGTTTTGATATGCCAAGGCGGGGTGATAAGACCATCAATGGCAGGATTTTCTGGGTAACGACAATTAGGTCAACCGAGGACACAAGAGGGAGTCAGTATGTTTTACGACAAGTATACCATCCTGGCAATAGATACAGAGTTGAGGTAACGTTTTGACATCTTTAACATTTGTTAGTTTCTTTGAAGGCCTAGTGCCTTGTAATAATGTGAAATGAACGCGTCTAAGGTCTGGGCACTCTGACTGAATTATCTTTCCAAGCTGATCTGGATGTGAATGGTAAGCGGCTCTTACTGTTAAGTACAGTCCTCTATGTTAATCGCTCTAACAACAGAATCCTCAGTGATATGAAATAAATGTACATATTTGGCAAGTGGGGTTTTCACATTCTGGTGCGTTGCGGCTGGCAAAAATCAGATGGGACATTGCAGAAACCAGCAAGATGTTTAAAATGTACTTGATATCGGCTAACAACAGAAAGAAAGGATGTCACTCTTGGACTAGCAAAAAAACTCGCCTCTACATAAACTTATCAATTGCTTGAACACACGGTTTACTGTCTGTTAGCACACCTTTCTGCTAAACTGGACTTTTAATGTAGGGGATAAAAGGGGTTTTGACGGCGGTTTGCCAAGGGCCAAGAGCCCCCTATCTCACAAGGAAACCCAAGGGACCGGGTTTGTTTTCGTAATTTTGGGCACTAAAGGGAATCCAGCGGGGTAACGGGTTTGGGCCATCCCCCCGAACTTTATAAGTGGGCCCCCCAAGCCCTTTTTCTTGACTGCCCCACCCGTAAACAAAAAAAGTTGGTTTTTGGTTGGGAAGGCAATTGATTTGTTTAATTTAGTCTGACTGAGTTTTTTTAAAAATTTTTAAATTTGGGGTTTCCAAACGTTTTTTTTGGGGGGTTTCCCAGCTTTAATGTTTTCGGTGGAGCAATAAAATTTCAAAACAACCGGGTTTAAAAACCCCGCCCCAACCCCTTTGTAAGCGAAAATGTATGATCTTTAAACCCATGGACAGTTTGGGGGGGGAAAAACCCGAAAGAGAAGCATACGTTTGGGGCTTGCTAAAATTTTCCTTGGCCCATATCCACCCAAGGGTCGTAGGGTTTTGGGAAAATTATGAGGGTTTTTTGTGGGCTTCTTTTTTTCAATTTTGTTTTTCGGGAAAAGATCAAATTACACGGCCCAAATTGGGAAGGGGGTTTCGTTTTGTAGGTTTCCCCCAGGGGAACATCGCAATTTTTTGCCAAAACCCTTTTTTGCAATAATACCTAAACACAAAACCCCATGGTTTTTTCCAATGCTGTTTTTTGGGGCCTTTGGCATCCCATGGAATCTTGTTATAAACGCTTTATGCCTTTTTTTAAAGGGTGTCGTTTATCCGCAATTTTCCCTTTGGACTCCTTCGAAAAGGGAAAATTTTGGCTTTTAGAATGCCCCTTTTAGGTCATTTTACTATTATTATGCCCTTTGCCCAAATTTTTACGAAGTAAAAGTGTCTACGTTTTGGCTTTGATTAAAAGGCTGGGGTTTTAGCAAAAACAAACCAACTCAGCAAACCCTGGGGAACCCAAACCAAAACCTCCCTGCCCTTTTTTTTACCAAGAAAAAAGGGGTTTAAGTTTCAACTGAAATTTGGGGAAATATCTTTTTTGGGCGGGGAAAAAAACCCCCTTGCTTTTTCAAAAATCATAAAGGTTTCTTGTACCCTAAACTAATTTTATCTCTTGCTTTATTGAGGTAGGGGTTCCTTTCCCGCTGGGGTTGGTTGAACGGGCCTTTGTTAAAAACCTGCTTTAAAGGGCCCAGAAAAACCATTTATATCCGACAGAGTTTATAAAATCCCTTTAATCATATTGCTCTAAGATGTTCTTGGAAACACTGGCGAGTTATTTTCAGGTAGTATAGCATCTGGGTCAACTGATACGGTATCAGAGAAATGATTATTGGTAGTCATTCTTGGCATGACAAGTACGAACCAGGGGTGTGTCTTGAAAGTCTTGAGCTTTTGTATCATAAGAGTCAACAGTGTGGCGAGCTTGACAAACATGTTCATTTTTATGCACATGGATGGGATTGGTCGTTGAATTCAGTAGTCTTACTTTACCAGACACTGCTTCAATAACTTGTGTGGAAGTGGCCATTGTTTGTTACTGGATGCTCCGAACTTGGGCTCTATGGCAAGTGTGCCATCTGGATCAATGTTGTCTGGCAAAGTGACCTCCAGGTAAGATCCCGGCCATGTAATTGAAGACATATTGGAACTTGACCTAAGGACAAAAGCTTTTGGTCCTTTCGAACACTGTGAGAAACCGAGTTCAGGTACCTCTGGTGCATAAAACACTGTATCAGAACCCATGAATAACAATTTGTTGCTTTGCAGGTCTAACCATAATGTCATTTGTTGCCATGAAAGGTATTCCACCAAGTAAATCCACATCTAAGTTTTCAACCACTAATGCCTCAACAGTTAAACTCTGTTCGCCACGAGTAAG